TTTTTTTATGACAAAGCTGTCCTTTGTTTACACTTTTGTGAAGTTAGTAATGCATGACACTAGGTTGCCTAGTAGCTGATAGCTAACCTTAAACAGACAGGATGTTCATCTCAGGAGTGAGGTAGCTGTTTGCTTTGTACACTGGGCCAAGTCCTACCTATATATATTTGATCAATTTCCTAGCTTCGTGGCGCCCAACATATCCCCCTTTTACATTTTGCTTTTTCAGAGATGAATGTTCCACTGCAGTTAGAGAAGCTGTATTTGGAGAAGTTTTTAAAGGACCTTTTCATACTTGAAACCAGTCTAAAGATTGTAGGTACTTGAATTCAGCAAAATAACCCAATATAGTCCAATAGTTCATAATAGTAGTGAGATATCAGCACAATTGGCTAATGTCAGGAGTTGTTGACTTGAGCATTTTACAGCTCAGCATATTATATAGCTTTACATTTTATACCTGGTGACTATAATTTTCTGCTGGATGTTTAAGACCAAGTTAAAGCAAAACCTATATAACTAAAAATGTAACTTTTGTATCTGACAAGGTCAGTCAAATCCCCTCAGGATTTATGCTGTACCCCTGTATAGCACCTTGTAGGTGTTTTGTCAATGTCAGCCATCTGGATGAGTCACAGCCATTGCTTGACCAATTTGCTCTCTGTGAAAGCCTGAGAGAAGGTTTTCTCTCTAGGTGACTCACTTTAGGCACACTATACATTGTTAATCACTTTCCTCTGGCTTCTCCCCTATTTAAGGAAATACTGATACTGGTCACTCAGGAATTCTTTCAAAAGGAAAAATTGCTGGACACACACTCTATTCTCCTCCATCCCTCTATACAAGTGTGGAATATTTTATATCTGTTGTCTCAGTCTACATACCTAGTTTTTGGGATGCTGTCACATAGTACTTCACCAATAAGAATTTATTTTCTTATTGTTATGAAGGCTGGTGAGCCAAGGGGAGTTTGCCACCACAAATGATTTGCTCTGACACCTCACTTGTTGGTGAACAGTTGACTGGTCTATGACTGCCACTTCACATGTTCAACTCTGCACATAAACCCTGTGCTTCTCTGTTTATCCTAGTCCCCTTCTCTTAGAAACACTATATACGAATTTGATAAAATGCATTGAATTAGAGCCCAAATATGGTCTTCTTACTCATGTAGTTGTGTCTTTGAAGATGCAATCTCTCAATACAGTCACTTTCTGAAGTACTGAGGTTGAGACTTCAACATACAAATTGTAAAGAGATATAATTCACTTTATTTTCTTTATTTCTTATTTGTTTTTATTTCTTCATTTTCTTGCTTTGTCCCTAAAGATGGCAGTATTTTTATACATGTTCTTTGACAAGTTAGAGTCCTGCTTATATTAGTTTTCTCAGAAGTTATTTATTTTTCTTCTGTTAATACCATTGTTACAAGAACTCTTTAAGTGCAAAAATTAGAAGACATGTCTTTTTATGCAATCTTTTCCTAATACATGGTTAGTTTA